GCAAGTGAGAAAGAGCTTGCCTTCTCCAAGCCGCTCCCCCTTCTCTTTCAGCACCTCAACCCCTTTCTGCTTTACCTGTGCAGATGCGGAGTATTGAACTCCAATGCTTGGGTGAGAGTTCAGATACTTCACCACACGCTCAGCTGCATCCACCTGCTCCTCTGATGGATTCTACACCACCCTATCCAGCTGCCCAACCGAGAAAGAGATGTTGGGCCTCGTATGAAGTGCTGCATACAAGAGGCTGCCGACCAAGGATTGAAATTGCTGCTGCTCCTCGGCTTCAACCCCTTCATCCTCTGCAGCTTTCACAAGCTTGAATTCTGCTGGCAGGGGAGTTGCAACTTTGCGCTCATTCTCAATCCCGTACTTCTCCCCCAGCTCCTTGATGAACTTCTCGTAGTGCAGCTTCAACCACCTGTGATCTGGATCCCTCTCCACGTGCATCCCGAGGTAGTACTTTACCTCCCCAAGGTTCTTGCACTTGAAATTTTCCATCAGCTGCTGCTGCACATTCCGGATCTCCTTCATGCTGCTACTAAAGAGAAGAATGTCGTTCATGTAGACCGGAAACAGCACCAGCTTCTCCCCCTCCCCCTTGAGAAAGAGGCTCTCATCACAGCTGCTGGTCCTGAATCCCATCTCCTTTAAAACAGCTGCCAACTTCTGGTACCAGCAGCGTGGTGCCTGCTTCAAGCCGTATATGGACTGTTTCAGCTTACACACCCTGCCCGTACCATCCTCATACCCAGGCGGCTGCGTCATGTACACATCCTCCTCTAAAATCCCATTAAGAAATGCCGTTGATATATCCATCTGAATGATGAATTTCCCACCAACGGTTGCATCTGCCAACAAGACACGGAGGGTAGGGGGTTTGGCAGTGGGAGCAAAGATCTCATTGAAGTCCTGCTTCTCCTTCTGCATAAACCCTTAGCCACCAGCCTACTCTTGAAGATGGTGACCTGTCCCTGGTCATCGGTCTTGATCCTTAGCACCCACTTGCACTGTACGACTTTCTTCCCCTAAGGCAACAACACCAGCTCCCATGTCCCATTCTCTAGCAGGCTCTGGTACTCAGCATCCCTGGAAGCCAGCCACTTCTCCCTATCTGGTCCAGCTAATGCCTCCTCCATGCTAGCTGGTTCCTCTGGTGCAGGGGCAAGAAAACAGTAGGCAGGTTCATCCTCCTCATCCGGGCCATAGCCATGCGGTAGAATCAGCAATGCCTCCTCTGTCCCAAGCTGCTGCTCTGCTACATCAGCTCCTGCAGTTAGCTGCTGCTCTCCTCCCTCGGATCCAGCAGCTCCACTAGTGCTACCGCTAGTCTCCACATCATTGTTTTCACCAGCAGGTGCCTCCTGCACCTTCTCTCCAGCACCACCCTCTGCAGCTGCCTCCTCTCCCTCCTCCCACACACTAGGAGTCAGGTCCAGCTGCATGGTGATCTGCTCCATCTGCTGGGACACCTTGGCCTCCGGCTGTTTCTCCCAGCTCCCATACATCATGCCCTCAACAAACTTCACATCCCTGCTGTCAAACAACACACCCTTGGAAGGTTCCCACAGCAGCCATCCCTTGCTCTCAGCAGCCAGCCCCAAATGCACACACCAGATTGCACTCGCCCCCAACTTACTGCGGTAGGTCTTGGGGACGTGGGCGACTGCCATGCAACCGAACACCCTCAGCATGTCCACCGGCGGCTTCCTCCCAAGCCACCTCTCCAACGGCACCCACGAGTCATCCCCAACCTTGGTGAGTACCCTGTTCCTAGCGACGTTAGCGTGCCAAACAGCATGGGGCCACATCAAGTTGCCCAGCCCAGATTCTACGAGCAGCGCCCTAGCTGTCTCCAGAATTGTCCGGTTCGCCCGTTCTGCTACACCGTTGGACTGTAGGGTGTAAGCCGTGGTCAGCTCCCTCTGGATGCCCTGCTTCTTGAGCCAGGCCGTCATCTCAGCTCCAAGGAACTCACCACCCCGATCTGTCCTAATCCGCTTCACCACACACTCCGCTTGCTTCTCCACGAATGGCAGCCCATCTTCGCGTATCGTAGAGGCGGCGGGGTCCTTCTGCTTCAGCGGATATGCCCACATAAGCCTGCTCCAATCATCCACTATGGTCAGAAAGTACCGCTCCCCCTTGTGCCCTTTAACCAGCAGCGGCCCCACCAAGTCTATGTGGACCAGCTCCAATGGCTTCTTGCTCCTGCCAGCCACACTATGGAAGGGGAAACGGGTAAACTTTGAGAGCAAACAGATTTCACAATTGTCATCGGGTGGCTGTCCCATGAGCTTCAGACCCTTAACGGCTCCATCTTTCTCCAACTGCTTCAACAAGGGCATTGCCACATGCCCCAAGCGTCGGTGTGCCGTTGCCAAATCCGTCTCCCCAGATCTGGCCGACTCTTTCACACCAACCCCTCCAACGGCGTTGCACTCCCCCTTGGATGCAGACCCCTCTCCAGCCTGCCCCCCACCATGCCACGCCAACGTCGGCAGCTGTCACATGGATCTGTACACGTCCTTGCTCTTGTGCAGATCCCAAAGCACCCGATTGCCCAGCTGCCCCTTGTAAGTGCGTGCCCCATCCGTGCTAGTGCTCACCCCAGCCTTGGCAAGCTTACGGAGGGAGATGAGGTTGGCCTTGAGTTCAGGAACGAGGAGAACGTCGTGCAGCACCACCGGCTTGCCATCCGCTCCCTTAAACGCAGCTCGTCCCGCACCAGCCACCTTCAGCGCGTGTCCAGAGGCGGAGCACACCTCGTTGATCGGTGCAGCTCGTACGTGGTCCAGCAGGTCCTTGCGCGGCGTCATCATCCAAGCAGCGCCCGTGTCCAACACCCAATAGTCCAGAGGGTGCAGCTCTGCTCCAACCTTGGCAGATGCGTCTCCTTGCTCCCCCTGTTCTCCAATATGGAAGAACTGGCCCGCGGTGCGCTCCTTCTTTTTGTCCGCACCGCCGTTGTGTTGGTGTAAGGGCCTAATAAACTCAAGCTATTAAGACTTTATCAAACTTAAAACCTCTCCTCGGGGTCACCTCCAAGGGTCCTTGGGTGCCTGGTACAAGACCAGCCCCTATCCTCGGGTCCGAGTTTGTAGAGAGAGGGATCAAGTGGGACTTAGTCAAAACAGCAAGAGTACCTTGAACGTCGCGCAGCGTATCGTGCAGACCGTCGATCAGATTAAGCTGAGAATTTTCTATATCGAAGCTCGCTCCAAGAGCTTTAAAATGAACCAAGTTGCCTCGCGAAAAGTTCTGCCATTACGAAGTTATGGCTCGGACAGCGTTTGCCTAGTGTTGGAGTGCTAGCGTACTAGCGTTTACTCGGGTAGCATTCCGCCGACGCACCGCGTAAAAACGAAATTCCAGCAAGGAAGGAATTTGCTTGAATCAATTTGACTATGTCCAGGTACAAACAGAGAAAGAATATATAGTTCTAGCTAGCAAGGACCTTGGGAATAAACCTGGGAACAACCAGGGATGATCCCAAATAATTCCAAGCAACAGAACCAACATGGCTGGACAAAACAGCAGGTGGTGGGTTGGTAAACAACCTCTGGTTCTGTTTTTCCAACCTGGGAAAACAACAACCAGGTTCAGATCCTAAAAAACAGAACCTGTTTTGTCTTTGCCCAACCAGCCAAATGCTGGTTCGGCTGGTTTCCCTTGGCCCTGTAGCATGCAGATGCAGACAAACAACATCCAACCTTCACCTAAATTGTACCCTTATAGTGCCTGCCCTGCTACACTATAGTCAACCAAACAAAACAGTACACGAACATTCCATTCACACCCAAATGCATTCGCACATGCATACTTGTACAAACAGACGGCAGGATGTCGTGCAATGTGAATTTGCACCCAACACAACCGGCATCGGCACTATCACCATCAAGGGGAAGGAGGGGGAGGTGTTGAATATGAAGGGTGTGCGTCACGTTCCTAGATTGGCAGCCAAACTCCTCTCATGCTCTCAGCTTGCTAGGCAAGTACACGCATGCACCTTCACCATAGGAGGATGCACGGTTAGAAAGGCTGGAGCTGTGGTGATGGAAGCCAAGTTAGACAAGGGTCTATGCCTTGTTTCGGTTGGTGTGCCTCAGGTGAAGAAGGCACATGAGGTTGAAGCCGAGAAAGCAGCTGGTAGCACCCATTGGAGGGACATGGAGCAGGTGACGGCAGATTTTCTGCACCTACACACGGGGCATGCTGGGAGGCAGTAGCTTGTGAAGTGTGTGAAGAAGGGGGAGCTGAGGGGATTGAGATCAAGAAGGCTGGTGGGCAGCCAAGCAAGTGCCCTGATTGCACCACCAAGAAGTTGCCAAGGACCTCCTTCCCTACCTCCGCCATTAGTGCCTCTGCACCTCTTGAGTTGGTGCACATGGATGTGTGTGGCCCTGTGCAAACTCCGGATAGGAAGAAGGGCAGCAAGTACTTCATTACCTTCTTGGATGACAACAACCGCATTCGTTGGGTAACATTGGGAATAACTAAGTAAGAAATTGTTAAGGCCTTCAAACGTTGGATACACTTTAGGAGAGGGAATTCGGGGCCAATGTGAAGATATGGTATTAAGGTCTGATCGGTGTGGAGAGTACATATGGAAGGACCTGGAGACCTTCCTTGAAGACGAGGGCATCACCCACCAGCTTTCAGTTGCCTACACGCCGCAACAGAATGGGGCAGTGGAGCAGCTGAATCGGACCCTCATTGACCTTGCCTAAGCCATGCTTTCTCATGAACAGCTGGACCATAGTTGGTGTGTGAAGCAGTGCATTACGGTATGCCAATCGGGTTGGAACCAAATGGGCAACAAGAAATTAGGGGGCAAGAGCCCATTATTCATTTTGACCAGAGAAGTGCCTAGTATATCCATGGCACGAGTATGGGAGTGCATGGCGCAGTACAAAGGGCTCGACCAGCAAAGGAGGAAGTTGGATCCCGAGGAATAGTGGGGCATTTTCCTTGGGGTGTCGGAGAGGAGCAAGGCTTCAGTGTTATGAATGTGGTGGCCTCCTTGCTTGCGGTGCACGTGACAGGAGGGTGCACGTGTGATGCAGCAGGTGATTGCAGCGAGTCCCAATTCCCCGCAGTTCAATATCACTGCCATGAGGCGTGTGCCGCCTGAAGCCTGACTCCTTTGGACAAAGCTTCCTCAGCAGATTGAGGGCCTTGCATGACATTTTATCAAATGCAGTGAGCCCCAACTCGTTGCATCTCAACATCATTGCCATGAGCCATGTGCTGCTAGACATTACCAAGAGCTTATGCGAATATCCGCTTGGCATGCCAGGGGTGAGTTCTTGTGCAATGTAAGGGTATGTTTGTCAACAATACGGTAGGTGAAAGTCAGTGACACAAGTGATTGTACAGGTTTACTAGTGCACGCATTCACTGGCTAGATTTCAGGATTGACGGCAGGTCCAAAGCATCGACGCGAACCAGCTTTCTCACCTCTGGGTCCTCCCCGCCCGATTCACTGTCCCCTGACCTACTTGTCCCTCTTGTCCCGGCCTCATCACCCCCACTCTCCTCGACTTGCCCAGAACCACTCTCGTCCACTTGTCTGGAACCAGACTCCACCTGCAGAAGCTCTCTTAGCTGGTCACCCACCGATGAACCTCTTGTGCGCTCATCTAGTCTGCACATGCCAATACATGTGGATGGGAGATGTGTTCAAGACAAGTGGGCGGGTGCTTCTTGGAGAGAACTTAGAATGCGATGGCAAGCACTGGTTACAACTTGATCAGCAATTGAATGCAAGAGGCTGCTTATGGGCGACCGGGATGGGCAACTATTCCGGGCAACTGCTTACACAACCAGAACCAAGAACAGGGTGTTAAAAGGCAATCATTCAGGGCTCCAGGTCTTGAACAAGGCGCACGCACCTATCGAAGAAGTTTGGCGCAGAAGCAGCATTGCCTAAAGCTGATCGCCTGTGCCACGGCCTGGGAGGCCCCTCTTGGCTATGCAGGCCGGCCCTCCTGCTCCACGCCAAGTGCGGTTGCTGCCTGCCCTCCTCTCCCACCATCCGCAGCTGCCTCACTACCTCTGCACGGCTTCTCCAGCTCCTCGCACCACTGCTTTGCCCAACTGCTTTCTGAGGCGCCTCAAGAGTCACTGCTGCCTGCAACTGCTTTGCCGCCTCCGCACTGCTGTTCGAGCTCCTTGCACCGCTGCCTGGCGCAAACCTCTGCTGCTTGCTGCTCTGCTGAGCTGAATCAGCCCCATCGCCTTCTACCAAGCCACCTGCTTGCATCTGCTGGGAAAGGAGGGAAATCTGCTGCAAGAGGCTGAGATGGAGGGCTTTTGGAGGGCTTATGTGGCTGTGCTGCTGCTGGTGCTGCTCAGAACTACCTTGGAGTGACACCTGTAAGGGATAGTGGTCATCGAGTGATCGAGCGAGGAGCTGATGTGGCCAGATGTGATTGGTGGTGTGGATCAGGTTCAGGTCCCCAGCGGAGGAGGTTCTGCGGTGCTGCCGCCGCTGCTGCTGTCGTTGCTGATTTTGCTGCTGATTCCCCTGCAGCCTCCCCGCTGCGTTTCTCAGGACTTGACTCGACGCAGTGAACTCAAAAGCTGCCCTGGCTGTTCCAGGCGAAAGGTGGATAGGACCCAAGGAGGAGGCGGAGGAGGAGCCTCCTCTCCCCCCCACTTGTCCTGCCGCCTGTGCTGCTGCCATCGGTGCTGCATGTGGTGGTGCCGCCGATTGTGCTGTGTGTGGGTTGCCTGTGAGGTTCCTGTCCTTGCTCCACTGCTGGCCCCGGTTGTACTTATCAACAAGCTCATTCACCGTCTCCTGAAGCGACAACAGCCCTTTCTGCGAACCGGACACCACCGATTTGCTCAACGTTGTCACCGCTTTCAACCCCGTGTCAGCCCCCATGCCGAGGGCTTTTACAGCAGCGGGTGCTGCAGAGGCTAGAGATGATGCTGATGCTGTGAGGAGCGACGACAGCATAGCAAGGAACAAGGCAGACGCACGAGCAGCTGGACAGGCAGAGGGAGAGACCGAGGGAGACACGGAAGGAGAGGCAGGCAGAGACACGGATTTGAAGGAGGCAGATTGATGGGAAGCTGCGAACATGGGTCTGCGGTCCTGCCCTTCTGTGCAAGCGCAATCAATGCTACGGCTCCTGCCATGCACCGCCTTCCTGCCCTTCCTTCCTATCGTCACCAGCGCATTCCTGCCTGAATCCTCCCCATGGTCCTCCTTCACAGCACTCAGTGCCAGCTCTTGGAACCCGTCCTCTGCCCTTCTCCCCTCCGCTCTGTGCCTATCCTGTGCCGCTTCTCCCCCCGCATCTTCATCCTAATCTCCTTCCTGACTGTCCCGTTCTGTCTTGCGCATGTTGCTCGCTCGCAAGGGGAGCTGCAGCGATCTTCTCAGATGCCCTACCTGCTCCAGCCGACACGATTGTGTTACATCTGGCATTACATTATGAGGACGCTCCTTTTGTGAGCTGGGGTTGGGTGTCATGTCGTGTGACGGTGATGAAGAGGAAGACATGTGCAGCGCTGTATGCGAGAGGTTCGGTGGTCTGGATGATAGGTTCGGTAAGATGGGTGACACGCTTGGGGAGCTGGGGGAGGTAGGCGCACTAGGTGATAGATTTTGTGGCCGAGGCAGTTTCAAGGACTGGGTGGTTTTGGGGGGGGGGCTGTATGACGGGAAACAGTTGAGCACGCGAATGAATGGCTGGTAAGAATCTGGAGGAGAGGCGTGTTGTTGGGTGGGAGATGGTTGCAGGCAAGGCAGGAGCAGCAGCTGACTCTTAACGACTGCACGCCTCTCCTGGAGGCTGCAAGACGAGAAAACGTCTGGATCTGAACTTCGGTTGGAAGAGGTGCCGATGCGGCCCACCCCTTGCGGTTGTGATTTCTGTGGCGCCTCAAAAATGTGGCCCACTCCTGGCGGTTGTGCCAACTCGTGCCGATTTGGTGCTGATGTGCACGTGTTTGGGTTTGTGACATGGTGGGAGGGTGGCGAAGGCAGGCGGGTGGGAACCAGGCGGTCTGAGCTTGGAGCGAGGCGAGGGGCGGACTGCGATGGTGATACTGCGTGGGGGATTAAGGGAGAGGGGGTATGTTCAGATTGGTTTTGCGAAGTAGGGAGGAGAGGGGTTGGAGAGGGAGAGCGGGGAAGGAAGTGAGAGGGGGAGTGTGGGGAGATGTTGGAGGGAGAGAGAGGGGGAAGGGAGAGGGAGAGAGAGAGAGTGCGGCGGAGTGGCATTGCTCGTCTGTTGCGTGCCATCTGGTACTGCCGTCTGTCAGCTCGCGGGGAGATGAGAGCTCTAAAAGACCAAGTATGCTCATTGAACGTATTTACAGGGAATCCTGCTGTTGCTGCAGCAGATACAGTGACAGAAACACCAGCAGCAGCCCCAAAGACAGCAGCAGCAGCAGCAGCAGCAGCAGCAGGAGCAGCGCAAACATAAGAATTGTTAGTGGTGACAGCAGCGCGACCAGTGGCAGGAGCAAGAGCATCAGGATTGCAAGTGGCAGCAGTACCACCAGCGCCAGTAACAGCAGCATGAGCAGTAGCGGCAACTCTAGCCGCATCAACACCAAAAGCATGCGCATAAGCACTGTTACTAGTGATAGCGCCACCACTGGCAGGAGCAAGAGCATCAGGTGTGCAAGTGGTAGCAGCACCACCACCAGAACCACCAACAGCAGCAGCACCAACAGCAGCAGCACCAACAGCAGCAGCAGTAACAACATCCCTACTCCATTGGCTAGCACTCGTCTCCTCGTCCCTGCCCTCCCTCCTCTCCTCCTCCTCTTCCCCCACCCCACCACTCCATACGTCGTTCCTTCCTCCCTCACCCTGCAGCACACCAGATCTCACCATTCCCTCCGTTTCCAGCAGCCCCCTTTCTTCCCATTCCGCCTGCCTCTGCTCAAACTCCGTTGCTCCTCCCTCTCTCTTCCTCCACGGCTTGGCCCTCCCCTCCTCTGATCTCTCTCCGCCCCTGCTCCTCACAACCAAACTCCTCCCCAGCTTGTGTCTAGAAATTCTTCTAGGCACCTCAAAAGTCGTCCCCTGTCTGTGTTCTGGTGTCTCTGCACTGCCCTCCCCTTCAAACAGCCTTGGGAGTGTCTCGTACCGACCTACACGACCCTTCTCATTGCCCTTGGGTTCTGACCCGCTATAAGCATCTGCACTACTGTACAACCTCTCGCCTTGGATGCTTCTCCTGCTTCCATTCCTGCTACTAGACCTGCTTCCGGGCCTGCTACAGTGCCTACTGTTGGGCCTGCTGTCGCCGTCGCCATGAGCAACAGCCTCTCCAAGCAATCCCGGCTGTAGGGCCTGCTCTCCTGCTGCCGCCACCTGCTCATCCTTCTCCCCCTCCTCTTCCCTCCCCTCCTCATTCTCATCCTCTCTTATCTCAAGCCCTCTCATCTCTTCCCCCTGCCCCCCGTCCTCCTCCTTCTCCTTCTCCGTCTCTCCTATATCAACCCCTCTTACAACTGTTAGCTTTCCAAACTCCTCCTCCTCTTCCTCTTCCCCCTCCTCAGCAACTCGTGTCTAGCTTCACCCACCCACAGCAGCGAAAGCGCCACTGCACCCACCGCTGCTGCTCATCCTGCCAAAGCTACTCTGAATCTCCTCCAAACTTCTGCCGCTGCTGCTACTACTCCCACCAATGCTATTCTGAGCCATCCCAAAACCTCCTCTGCTGCTCCTCCCACTGCTGCTGCTGAACCTACCACTGAGAGTGGCAGTACGCCTGAACACAAACACGTCCTCCCTTCCCAAATAATCCCTACCCCCGGTGCCACCTCCCTCCCATTCGTGCCCTCTTAAAGCCAACCCCTTTTCTGGCATGGGCTTAGCCACATCTGGGCCGTCAAATCTTGTGTGCACCCGATGATGATGGAACACGAGCCGTTGGATCTCAGCTTGGTTCTGAGCGTCTTGCTGGCGGGCAGCCTCTCTGTGGGGCACGCGAGGGGGAGGGGGATCAAAGGGTGGGTGGAGATGAAGTAGCGTGTTAGAGTAAGAAAACGCTTGACCCGAGTTGACTCAGTAAGAGGCAGCCCCTCCATACCTGCTGACTCTTCCGTACCTGCTGGCTCGGTAGCCGCGGTGAATAAGGAGCAGCACGTAGAGCAGGCAGCAGCCCAGCGACACGGCGGCAAGAATGATATACAGCCCAAGGAACTTGTGCATGGACAGCTGCACTACTGAGTCTGCTGCCAGCAAAGAGACCGGGGAGGAAGAGGACGACGAGGAGGAGGATATAGCGCTGTTGCTGCTGGTGGGACGGGAGCAGGAGGCGTTGATCCCACTGAAGTACTTCTCCCGGATCTGCTGCAGCTCGCCTAACATGGTCAGCTGCACTATCGCCTGGGATATGTCCTCGCCCACCTGCGAGCCCTTGGGAAACGCCTGTGGGAAGGATGAATTGAGTGGGGTGAGGAAAGGGGCCGACATTGAGTGGCCAACCTAATCTAGCAAAGAGTGTTGCTGACTAAGAGAGGATGAGGAACAAAACAAACAAAACGTTTCTCTTGTCCCTTTTCATTTTCCTATCTCCCTTCTTTATTTCTTTCTTTGGGACTGGACATGGTTGAGAACGAGATTACGTGGCAGAGACGAGAGTGGTTACAAAGGCGAGGTTGAGGAGGGAGAAGGGCTGAGGCGCCACGGCCACGTCACAGAAGCGCCGGGAAAAGAGCTGCAGGTAGGGGCTCTCGTCCACTATCATGCCCACACGCCCCGAGGTTAGCGCCGCCGCATACTCATCCTCGCTATTGAGTGCCACCAGGCGGTTCTGTCGCGAGACAGCAGTTGGGTTGGGTGAGGGAGGATGCAGCAAACCGTGTTTCTGAACGGCTGGGAATGGCAGGCCACCTACCCAGTAGGGTAGACTAGAGTAGGGTAGGGTAGAGTAGGGTAGGGTAGGGTAGAGTAGGGTAGGGTAGGGTAGGGTAGGATAGGGTTGGGTGGAATGGGGTGGGGTAGGTCGGAATGGGGTGGGGTAGGCTTGAAATACGTCCTTCATAACAAGGCTCATGGGCAGCAGCAGGCATGCAAAGACTACTCGTTGGGCAGCAAGAGTGCTTCGCAGGTCTCAGGCGGCTCGCAGGGAAAAGCGTATCCCAGTCAAGCCCATGTGCGGCAGCACGCATGGAAGACTGTTCAATGAAAAGCCCTGCTTCCTTTCTGCGGCTCAACTGCTCTCCTCAATCGTCCAGATTGACCCATTCACCCATTGTCCCATGGACCCACCGCAGGGATGCCCATGTGCAGCAGGTATGCATACACGAATGACCCCAGCTGGTACCCGATCGCCGATGAGCCCATGGCTGCAGAACCAATGTCCTGGTGGTGGAGCCGTGGGGGGTGTGGTGGGATGCAGTGGAATGGGATGAGGCAGGCTTCGAGAAATCTCAAAGAACCCATGTTTAAGAGGTCCCAAACGACAGTAGCCCCGCTCTGCTTGCCAAGAAATAGAGTCGTATGAGACTGAAAGGCAAGCCGGGCCGGGCCCTCTGAAGGCAAGGGACATAGAATAGACATACTTATGGTACTATGTATATAGATATAGTATCTACACATACAAATGGTATCTACACGTACATACATATAAAATTGGCTGTAACCAAACCACACTATTGCAAATCAGTTGACTGTGACAAAAGAGGTGAGGTTAGCCGTGCACACTGTGATAATAAGGAAGCGACTTGTGAGTCGAGGTCGAGTGACTCAAAGTTCAAACCGTACCATTGTGGAGGGCTTGAGTCGCTTGACTGTGACAATAGAGGTGAGGTTAGCTGTGTACATGGTAACGATAAGGAGGCTGATGATGAGCCACACGATGACAAAGAGCCGGGCGAGGGCAGTACGGACGGGGTACACTGCCATGACAATAACAAGAGGGGGCAGTGGGGTGTGAGATTAGCCGTGTGCATGATTAGCCGGGTACATGATTAGCCGGGTGCATGATTAGCCGGGTGCATGATTAGCCGGGTGCATGATTAGCCGGGTACATGATTAGCCGAATACATGATTAGCCGGGTACATGATTAGCCGAGTACATGATTAGCCGGGTGCCTGATTAGCCGGATGCATGATTAGCCGGGTGCATGATTAGCCGGGTGCATGATTAGCCGGGTGCATGATTAGCCGGGTGCATGATTAGCCGGGTGCCTGATTAGCCGGGTGCATAATTAGCCGGGTGCCTGATTAGCCGGGTACATGATTAGCCGGGTGCATGATTAGCCGTGTGCATGATTAGCCGGGTGCATGATTAGCCGGGTGCATGACTAGCCGGGTTTTAGCCGGGTGCATGATTATTCGGGTACATGATTAGTCGGGTACATGATTAATTGGGTGCATGATTAGCCGGGTGCATGATTAGCCGGGTGCATGATAATCCGCGTACATGATTAGCCGGGTACATTATAAGCCGGGTACATGATTAGCCAGGTAAATGATTAGTCGGGTACAAGATTAGCTGGGTGCCTGATTAGCCGGGTGCATGATTAGCTGGGTGCATGATTAGCCGGGTGCTTGATTAGCCGTGTTTTAGCCGAGTACATGATTAGCCGGGTGCATGATTAGCCGGGTGCATGATTAGCCGGGTGCATGATAAGCCGGGTGCATGATTAGCCGGGTGCATGATTAGCCGGGTGCATGATTAGCCGGGTGCTTGATTAGCCGTGTTTTAGCCGAGTACATGATTAGCCGAGTGCATGATTAGCCGCGTGCATGATTAGCCGGGTGCATGATAAGCCGGGTGCATGATTAGCCGGGTGCATGATTAGCCGGGTGCATGATTAGCCGGGTGCATTATTAGCCGGGTGCATGATTAGCCGGGTTCATGATTAGCCGGGTGCATGATTAGCCGGGTGCATGATTAGCCGGGTGCATAATTAGCCGGGTGCATGATTAGCCGGGTTCATGATTAGCCGGGTGCATTATTAGCCGGGTGCATGATTAGCCGGGTGCATGATTAGCCGGGTACATGATTAGCCGGGTACATGATTAGCTGGTTACATGATTAGCCGGGAACATGATTAGCCGGGTGCATGATTAGCCGGGTGCATGATTAGCCGGGTGCATGATTAGCCGGGTGCATAATTAGCCGGGTGCATGATTAGCCGGGTTCATGATTAGTCGGGTGCATTATTAGCCGGGTGCATGATTAGCCGGGTGCTTGATTAGCCGGGTACATAATTAGCCGGGTACATGATTAGCTGGTTACATGATTAGCCGGGAACATGATTAGCCGGGTGCATGATTAGCCGGGTGCATGATTAGCCGGGTGCATGATTAGCCGGGTACATGATTAGCCGGGTACATGATTAGCCGGGTACATGATTAGCCGGGTATATGATTAGCCGGGTACATGATTAGCCGGGTGCATGATTAGCCGGGTGCATAATTAGCCGGGTGCATGATTAGCCGGGTTCATGATTAGCCGGGTGCATTATTAGCCGGGTGCATGATTAGCCGGGTGCATGATTAGCCGGGTACATGATTAGCCGGGTACATGATTAGCTGGTTACATGATTAGCCGGGAACATGATTAGCCGGGTGCATGATTAGCCGGGTGCATGATTAGCCGGGTGCATGATTAGCCGGGTACATGATTAGCCGGGTACATGATTAGCCGGGTACATGATTAGCCGGGTATATGATTAGCCGGGTACATGATTAGCCGGGTGCCTGATTAGCCGAGTGCATGATTAGCCGGGTGCATGATTAGCCGGGTGCATGATTATCCGGGTGCATGATTAGCCGGGTGCATGATTAGCCGGGTGCATTATTAGTCGGGTACATGATTACCCGGGTGCATGATTAGCCTGGTGCATGATAAGCCGGGTACATGATTAGCCGGGTACATGATTAGCCGGGAACATGATTAGCCGGGTGCATGATTAGCCGGGTACATGATAAGCCGGGTGCATGATTAGCCGGGTACATGATTAGGCAGGTACATGATTAGCCGGGTTTTAGCCGGGTGCATGATTTGTCGGGTACATGATTACCAGGGTGCATGATTACCCGGGTGCATGATTAGCTGGGTGCATGATTAGCCAGGTGCATGATTAGCCGGGTGCCTGATTAGCCGCGTGCATGATTAGTCGGGTAATTTATTACCTGGGTGCATCATTCCCCGGGTGCATGATTAGCCGGGTGCATGATTAGCCGGGTGCATGATTAGCCGGGTGCATGATTAGCCGGGTGCCTGATTAGCCGGGTTTTAGCCGAGTGCATGATTAGTCGGGTACATGATTACCCGGGTGCATGATTAGCCAGGTGCATGATTAGCCGGGTGCATAATAAGCCGGGTGCATAATTAGCCGGGTGCATGATTAGCCGGGTGCATTATTAGCCGGGTGCATGATTAGCCGGGTGCATGATTAGCCGGGTACATGATTAGCCGGGTACATGATTAGCTGGTCACATGATTAGCCGGGAACATGATTAGCCGGGTGCATGATTAGCCGGGTGCATGATTAGCCGGGTGCATGATTAGCCGGGTACATGATTAGCTGGGTACATGATTAGGCAGGTACATGATTAGCAGGGTAAATGATTAGCCGGGTGCCTGATTAGCCGGGTTTTAGCCGGGTGCATGATTGGTCGGGTACATGATTACCCGGGTGCATGATTACCCGGGTGCATGATTAGCCGGGTGCATGATTAGCCAAAATGATTAGCCGGGTGCATGATTAGCCGGGTGCATGATTAGTCGGGTACATGATTACCCTAGTGCATGATTAGCCGGGTGCGTGATTAGCCGGGTGCATGATTAGCCGGGTGCATGATTAGCCGGTAGCATGATTAGCCGGGTACATGATTAGCCGGGTGCATGATTAGCCGGGTGCATGATTAGCCGGGTGCATGATTAGCCGGGTGCATGATTAGCCGGGTGCATGATTAGACGGGTTTTAGCCGGGTGCATGACTAGCCGGGTGCATGATTAACCGGGTACACGATTAGCCGGGTGCATGATTAGCCGGGTGCATGATTAGCCGGGTACATGATTAGTCGGGTACATGACTACCCGAGTGCATAATTAGCCGGGTGCATGACTAGCCGGGTACATGATTAGCCGGGTACATGATTAGTCTGGTACATGATTAGTCGGGTACATGATTACCCGGGTGCATGATTAGCCGGGTGCATGATTAGCCGGGTACATGATTAGCCGGGTATATGATTAGCCGGGTACATGATTAGCCGGGTGCATGATTAGCCGGGTTTTAGCCGGGTGCATGATTAGTCGAGTATATGATTACCCGGGTGCATGATTAGCCGGGTGCATGATTAGCCGGGTGCATGATTAGCCGGGTACATGATTAGCCAGGTGCATGATTAGCCGGGTGCATGATTAGCCGGGTGCATGACTTGCCGGGTTTTAGCCGGGTGCATGATAATTCGGGTACATGATTAGTCGGGTACATGATTAGTCGGGTGCATGATTAGCCGGGTGCATGATTAGCCGGGTGCATGATTAGCCGGGTGCATGATAAGCCGGGTACATGATTAGCCGGGTACATTATAAGCCGGGTACATGATTAGCCGGGTACATGATTAGCCGGGTACATGATTAGCCGGGTGCATGATTAGCCGGGTGCATGATTAGCTGGGTGCATGATTAGCCAAGTGCCTGATTAGCCGGGTGCATGATTAGCCAGGTGCATAATTAGCCGGGTGCATGATTAGCCGGGTGCATGATTAGCCGGGTGCATGATTAGCCGGGTGCCTGATTAGCTGGGTACATGATTACCCGGGTGCATGATTACCCGGGTGCATGATTAGCCGGGTGCATGATTAGCTGGGTGCATGATTACCCGGGTGCATCATTCCCCGGGTGCATGATTAGCCGGGTGCATGATTAGCCGGGTGCATGATTAGCCGGGTGCATGATTAGCCGGGTGCCTGATTAGCCGGGTTTTAGCCGAGTGCATGATTAGTCGGGTACATAATTTCCCGGGTGCATGATTAGCCGGGTGCATGATTAGCCGGGTGCATGATTAGACGGGTTTTAGCCGGGTGCATGATTAGCCGGGTGTATGATTAGCCGGGTGCATGATTAGCCGGGTGCATGATTAGCCGGGTGCATGATTAGCCGGGTACATGATTAGCCAGGTGCATGATTAGCCGGGTGCATGATTAGCCGGGTGCATGACTTGCCGGGTTTTAGCCGGGTGCATGATAATTCGGGTACATGATAAGTCGGGTACATGATTAGTCGGGTGCATGATTAGCCGGGTGCATGATTAGCCGGGTGCATGATTAGCCGGGTGCATGATAAGCCGGGTACATGATTAGCCGGGTACATTATAAGCCGGGTACATGATTAGCCGGGTACATGATTAGCCGGGTACATGATTAGCCGGGTGCATGATTAGCCGGGTGCATGATTAGCTGGGTGCATGATTAGCCAAGTGCCTGATTAGCCGGGTGCATGATTAGCCGGGTGCATAATTAGCCGGGTGCATGATTAGCCGGGTGCATGATTAGCCGGGTGCATGATTAGCCGGGTGCCTGATTAGCTGGGTACATGATTACCCGGGTGCATGATTACCCGGGTGCATGATTAGCCGGGTGCATGATTAGCTGGGTGCATGATTACCCGGGTGCATCATTCCCCGGGTGCATGATTAGCCGGGTGCATGATTAGCCGGGTGCATGATTAGCCGGGTGCATGATTAGCCGGGTGCCTGATTAGCCGGGTTTTAGCCGAGTGCATGATTAGTCGGGTACATAATTTCCCGGGTGCATGATTAGCCGGGTGCATGATTAGCCGGGTGCATGATTAGCCGGGTGTATGATTAGCCGGGTGCATGATTAGCCGGGTGCATGATTAGCCAGGTACATGATTAGCCGGGTACATGATAAGCTGGTTA